TGACCAGAGACGCCCCCTCACGGGAGGGCTCGTGCGGGGGTAGCGGCCGCGTCGCCGGGTTTGCCCCGGAGCGAGAGTGGGAGTTCTCCTGCCTGTCACTCTCAGGCAGGCCCCGCTACACGCCCCGCCCGGGCCTCCTCAGGTTGTCATCTCGCCCTGACGGCCGCACCGCCTCGGCGGTGACAGGGCCGGGAGCGCGGCGGGAGAGTGAGTGTGTGTCTGTGTGTGAGACCCACGCCCTGTTGACATGCAGGAGACCTTGGGGGCCAGATCTGCCGCGAAGGGGGGAAATTTCCAGAGAGAGAAGTTCAGCCGTCGGGGGTTCGTGATACCTTGATTAAGACATGAGCGATAAGAACCACTGAAGAGAGAAGATTATAAAACAACTTACTATAAATAACTACATAAAAGATAAGTTGTTGGAACTAATATTTAGCTGCTAAATTAATTGGAGTTGGAAATCTCATTAGTTGACAAGAAAGGAAATAGGTTTTTGGATCTCTTGATAAACAAAACGTTTAATGAGTTAAAAGCTGCAGAATCATTTTAGTGAAGAGGAGAGCTGTGTGTGACAATTCTAAAATGACAGTAATTACACGTAAGGTAAAGGCAGAAATAAGTGGCTTTGAAAAGTAATTGTATTCGTCCTGTGCTAGATTTAATTCTTGTCGAATGTTTATAGAGCATCCATCACAGGCCTTCTAAATTACCCTCACATATTTTTATCAATGAACCCTTTTCTGCGTCCTGTTTTCTTCCTGACATGTGGCTGCTCACTCACCCATTCACCTCACCTGCAGCTTTGAAGAAATCACTTCCTGCAGGGCCTTTCCTGCGCCAAGTACCCATCAACCATTTCCTAACTTTTGTGCCCTCCCTTTACAGCCCTTCTGGATAATGGCTTAAGTGACATGCTCCCTGGGTAGACTGAGAATTCCAGGAGGACAGGGACCACATGTAGCTGGATCTTTAGCTCCTCTTAGAGAACCTGAAGTTGGGGAGGGGCTTGATAAATGATGAATGAATGGAAGAAATGAAGAAATCCCCAAGTCAACCAGCTGGTGTCCCAGAGTTGTGAATGTCTTGTGTAAAGCCGAGTAGCCGCGGATTGCCACTAAATAATGACCATTTTCCAGTCAACGCAGAAAAGAGGCAGTGTGATATTTCAGAGGTGTTATTAAGTGTTTGCACATACCTGATAATTAAGAGACAAGATGCCGCTCGGTTCATCAGTATACCCTTAAAGTGCTCTGATTCTGTTCCGGTCAAAGAGTAGCTTAGTTACCTCAGGCCTTTGGTTATTTGTAGCTCTTAACCCAAGTTCTAATTTTCCACTGTTACTGGTTCAAATGGCATCTTTTAAAAACTAAGTTAATTTCAGTTATCATTTTTGCTTCCTGTGCTGGGAACGATTGGCTGTTTATAGTCCTTATGGTATAATGACTGTGATGATTATTACTCACTTTATGTTTATAACACTTAATGCTTTAACTATTAAGCAAGGTGAGGCTGTTGAAATTATAGAAGGAATTTGAGTCAAATTTTATAGCCTATTCATGGTTCTGCATTTAGAGGTTTGTTTTATTTTTAAGGCAGTACAGATCTGTTACTTTGTGTATTCATTTTTCATTTTAAAAGTCGGTAGTTTACTCTAAGGCCTAGTTAGTAAATGCAGAGGCAAATAACTGGATTCAGAGGAAATGGCAGGAGAAGTATGGAAATCTACAATCTAGGCCAGGAGCGGCTGTGTGACCATGGGCAGGTCTTTCAGCTTCTCTGACCTGGTTCTTCACCAGAAATGAGGGGCGTTGAGTAATATATAAAGTAAAGCCTCAGATTTTTTTTTTTCTCTAGTCGAGCAATGAGCTGTGAAGTAAAAAAGTTGAAAATGGTGAGCAATGTCTATCATCTGTGTCCTATTTGAGTGTTTGGATATATCTTTTTGTTTGTTTGTGTTAACCAATTCCAGTGACCATAAGGACTGCGGTTCCTAAAACTCTCCAGTCATTTTAAAGGCTGCAACCCTGGGTGGTCACAGCTCCTTGACAGTCTGGACACACCCGGGTAGTGGGAGATAAAAACAACTTGCCGTCTTAGTCGTCTTAGAGGTGGGTCATTGCAGTGTTACCTGAGACAAAAACAGAATAACAAGTGGCTTGAAAGGAGAAAATTAAGCCCTGTGGCTGCTCTTTACAGACCACCCAGCTGTGTAAAACTTTGCAAGTCAGGTCAGGGCTAGAGGTGACTGAAACCAGGGCCTACAGGTACAGGTGCCAGGGCTGGGTGTTTAAAGATTCTGAAATAGAGATTTAAGATGTAGGAATTGCCAGCTGATCCTCCCAGTAAGCCTTTCTCTGGCCTTTTATTGGGGTAAATATCTTGTTTTGTCTTGATTTTAGAGTGGATATGAGAGTCCGCATTGGGACACTGCGGTGTGGATATGGTTGGAAGGTGACCTGTGAGAGTTCATGAGATTGGCATCCTTTTGCCTGGAGTCAGAAGGCCATGATGATGTGTTTGTGATTTTTCAGTGTTTGAAGTGTCATAGTAGAGAAGTATGACCAGCAGATGCCTGTATGTACTCAAGGTAGAGCAGGAACAAAGAAGTTTTATGTTTATTATTGAGAAGAACTGCTGCTTGGGAGGTTACAGATTCCCGTAAAAACTGGTCCTTTTTCACTAGAGGTCAAAGGTGATTTTTAAAATTACTTTAAAATAAGTTCAAGCTTGCAACAGAGAAGTTGCAAGTATTGAACAAAGACCTCTAATATTCCCCTCACCCAATTCCTCAACTCTTAACATTTTGTTACATCTTCTTTTTCCCTTTCAGTCTATCTGCCTGTCTATAAAAGCACTCGACTTTCCTGAACCATCTGAGAACTTCAGATACGATGCCCCGTCACTCCCAGAAACTCCAGTGTGTATTTCCAAAAAAATGAGGGTACTGCCTTACATGAGCACCATTTAACCGTTCTAGTCAGGAAACTAACATTGGTATCCCAACCCACAGACCCCCAGTCAGATTTCACCAACTGTCCATGTCACCTCCCAGGGGCTCTTTTGGAGACTGGGATGGCTTCCTGTTCAGCATTTTTGCTCCCTAGCCCTTGGCTTCTGCTGCTGCCACCTCCTCTGCTGCCCAGTTCCCCCGCTTCTTGCCCAGGTTTGGTGTGCAGGTGTGCAGGTAAGCTCTGTCCTCCAGCTTACTACCAGTGCTCACCTGGACATCACAGGCTAAATGCCCCAAATTTGAAGTAATGGTGTTAGGGGCCCTGGTCTCTGCTAACCATGAGCAAGGCCAGGTCTGCTTTTCAGAGGCCTCTTCCTAACACAGCACGTGCCCTGCCCAGGTCTGTCTGGTTGGAGCAGAGCCAGCCAGCAGTCTTCAGCCTGGGATGGATTTATGGAGGCTTTGTGTCTAGACCTGGTGGTACCCCATCGCTTTCAGAGATGTCTGGCCATATTGTATTTTGCATATTTATCTTGTTTATTGTCTCTTCTTCCCTCTAGAATGTCACTGCCGGAGGGTGCGGGCCTTGGTTAGCTTGTTCACCATGTCAGTCAGTCTCCAGGCCTCGAACAGGGCCTAGATCTTCGTGGCCCTCAAGACATGATACTTGCTGAATGAATCAACCTGCTTCCCAGCCTTTTATACATTTCCCCGTTTCTTTGAGAATCCTGTTCCTTTTGCTGCATATTGGTATCCTTTTCGCTTTTTAGACTTCCCTAGTGTTTTTGCATCTTGAGTTTCAAACACAGCTGGCATTTTCTGCTTCTTAGACCAGGGAAACTTTCTCACAAAGGTGTGATTTCAAAGGAGATCATGTTCTAAATCTAACTGCCTGTTACTGATCAGTATGATTAATTCATAAAATATTTTCTTTGTGTATTATAGTGAAAAGAAGAGACTGGACCTGGAAAGGAAACTCTATGAATATAATCAATCTGACATATGCAGGTAAGATATGACAGCAGAAAGTTTTAAAACCAATTTGCATATATTAATTAAAATTTAACTCTGATGTATGTTATAAATAACATAGTTGTAGTACTGTTACCATTCTCTTATTTCTAATGTGTAACTGTTTCAGGTAAACACTGCAACTTAATGTAATCAGCATCAAAAGTAAGAATCAATTTGATTAAAGTATAAGGTAAAAATGATTGTATTTTCATTATTTGGTATTTGCATTATTATTTCAGGAGTCTGTTTTGCTTAGCTATCTTAAGAATGAGATGCACTGTAGTCTTACTTACCTTTTTGGTCACAATTTAAACACACTGGATCTGTGTGATAATTAAGGTGTAATTACTGTAGGTGACCTTCCAACAAACTGTTATAGACAGGGCTGCATGGGTGTCTCATTTGTGGGTGTATGACAATGACTGTTAAAACTGTTCTGAGCCGTGGATAGTATACGTGTTATCCTTTTAGGTTATTTACTCTAACATTGAGATCAAACGTAAAAAAAATTTTTTTTATTGAAGTATAGTTGATTTGCAATGTTAATTTCGAGTGTACAGCAAAGTGATCCAGTTATACATGTACATACATACGTATTTTCTTTTCAGATTCTTTTCAATTATAAGAGCAAACTTTTAATTTTTTTTGTGTGTTTTATGGAAACTGAACTTTATCCATAAGCCAAAAGTTACCACCTTTATTATTCACATGAAGGTTTTCTGGCTATGATAGAGTTAAGTTTGTGACTTAGCCATAGCGTAATATGAGTGCAAAATGAAAACCTGTCATCCAGAAGAGAGAGAAACCAAGAATACTGTAAGAGCAAATCACCCATCAGGCCCCTCTGTTTTCTCATCTTCAAAGTGATCCTTCGGTTGTAAGTTTGTGTCCATACTTCATGGTAGGCAGCTGTGTGTTCTGGTGGCTCTGGAAGAGACAGGAGGAGACAGCAGTGCTGGAGATGCTGTGGCCTCACAGGTGGGCCCAGAGCTGGAGGGTCCGTGGCAGTTGCCACCTTTCAAGCTCCCGACTGAAGGGATGGAAGGCGGAGTGCGGGCTTCTCCCGCAGCCTGCTCCTGGGGGGCTTCCTGGCGTGGTGGTGATGGTGGTGGGCCAGGTGACGTGAGAGAGGACGAGGACCTTCACCAGGCTGCCATTCGCTGAGTTCATCCTCTCTCAGCCTCTTGTTTCCTGGGAGACAGGGGTGTTTTTTTGCTAAAAGTAGGCTTCCTTTGACTGCCCACAGGAGAAAACCCAGACTGTCTGACAGGGCTGCCTCGGCCTGCTTCCCCCAGCAGGCAGCGCCTGAGACTGGATCTGGGCAGGTGGTAGCTTATTGTAGGAAGTGGTCACATAAGCCTGGAGACGGGGCTGGTCCCCACTGTGGGCCCCGGGGCTCCATCCATCCGGACCTTCAGATGAGCCATGGAGACGCCGCCCTGCCCCTCATTAGTGTCCATTCTGGGGCAGCAGGAGGGGGCTCCCTACCTGTTGGTTCCCGCCCCCCCGCCCCTGTGGTCAGGGCCACCTCAGGAGCTGATAACCCCTCTTCACATCCAGGCTTTCCCTGCTGCAGGCTCAGGAGAGCAGCCCCAGACAGGCTGGACAGCAGGTGCAGCCCATGCTTGTGCTGCTGGGAAGACAGGCTGAGCCGGGGGAATGCGGGGAGCGCAGGAGAAGCCTGGCACAGTGGCTTTCCAGAGCCTCTGTTATCCGCCCCGGTTTAGTTTTCATCACTCCCATGTGAAAGACAGTACACTGGGTTCCACCTCCATCACTGCCACTTGTGTCAGAAACGGCAGACGTGAGCTGCAGTAAACCCAGCCTTAAGGTTTTTGTTCAGGAGGAAAAATGGGGACAGCTAACCAAGATCAGAATTATTAGCACAATAAAAAATTTCTTGACAATTACTGGCTTAGGGGTGGGAGTTGAAGGTATGTTGATTCATTTTTAACATTTCCAGCATCTTTGCAGATCTGTTTTTGAGGGTGAACATTTTGCAGTTTTCAACTTATTTTTGCTTGAAAAGAGAATGGTGAATAATTATTGAGCCAACAGTAGAAATGCTGCGTACCAGGCTCTTTTATGACTTAAATACTCGTGAAGGAGGAGGCGGCGGAGGAGCAGTGTTGGTTCTGCGGGGGGAGTGGACGGCACTGCTCAGCTGTCCGCTTGCTGGCTTTGACCCTGGGTTTGGATGAGAGTCTCCAAAGGTTTTCTCACAATTTGAGTAGAGTTACAGTCCATATATCGTAAAATATTTTAACACTTAGTATGTCATTGCAATTTCTAACAAAACTTTAAAATATCTAAGTGAGAGCTTTTAGGGCATTTTAAATTTCAAAATTTCTTGGCTTATTTTTTTATTTTTGAGGGGGGAGGTAATTAGGTTTATTTATTTATTTTAATGGAGGTGCTGGGGATTGAACCCAGGACCTCGTGCATGCTAAGCACTGCACTCTCCCATCGAACTATACCCTCCCCCCTCAAAATTTCTTGATGTTTAGAGACTGTGGTTTATTGTTGAATTCTGTTTCTGTATGAGCAGGTGGTTTTGAAATTGTCTGTCACGTAAAAGAATGTTAACAAGCTGTCCATCTGAACATGGCCACATAGTCACTGCTCTTGAAGTCACATTTAATTTTGAGAAAGAAATCCGTATAAATCTTTATGTGTGAATGGTATAATGTGGTTTTGTATCCGTTTCTCAGGAGAGTTATGCCTAGATGTGATACCTCAGTGATGCTGCATTAATTTCCTCTCTAAAAATGCACATGTACCCTTGTCCTTTAGGCTTCAGCATTTGGGTAAAATACCTTAGAATACCCTGTGTCATTAACAGTTTTGTTAAAGAAAATTCTCCTCTTTAGACTTCTTCAATTCTAACTCCATTGTGTAAAAATCTGCTTTTATTTTTCCAGAGTTAAGCTGAAGTATGTAAAACTAAAGAAATACCTGAAGGAAATATGTGAGTCAGAAAAGAGGGCGCGTACTCGGAACCAAGAATATTTAAAGCGGTTTGAGCAGGTCCAAGCTCATGCTGGGCACTTTGCCACAAATGCAGAGAAGCTTCAAGAACTGAAGGTGACGTCTTGCTTTCGTACTATGGGGGTGGGTTTTGTGTTTTTTTGTTTTTGTTTTTTTTTTTTTTTGCTAAAATTGGAAATTTAGCTGTAAGTTTCAGGTCCATGGCAGGCGTTAATATTCAGTTGTTCATCCTTAAGATTAGCTGTCAGCTTTCTCTGGGAATTCATTATCATGTGGCCGACTTTTTTTTTAATTGAAATTTTTATTGCAATAATTGTTAAGTCATACAAAGTTGTAGGAAATAGTACTGAGAGATCCCTTGTATACCTTTGCCCAGTTTCCCCCAAAGGTAACAGTTTGCAGGCTGTAGCATAATGTCACAGCCAGGATGTTGGCGTTGATACAATCCAGGAGTCTGACTCGGAGTGCCCCAGTTTCATCTATGTGTGTTTATGTTAGGTAGTATGCAGTTTTAGCAGCTGCAGGTTTGTGTATCTACCATCACAGTCAAGATACTGAACAGTTCTGAGACCAGAAGGGGCTCTTACATGATGAGGTTTTAGCTGATATGAATGCTGACACCACAATACCCACTGACATGATATGGAAACATCACTGAATGAAGCTGTCAGATATTAGTATTTTAGTTGTTAAGGGGTTAGATAAAATAGCTTTCAGGGTTTTTTGTTTAAAATTTTTTATATATTCTTTTTTCACTTTTCTGCCTGAATCCACTGTTTATTCATTCAGTATCTAAATACGTATTTAGTGACTGTTGCGTGCTATGCACTGTAAGTACAAGGATTAAATAGATGTAGAACTCAAGGAGCTTGTACTCCCAATATGAAAGAAGCGTAGGGTGTTTAAGAAGAGTAGGGGAGGGTATAGCTCAAGTGGTAGATCACATGCTTAGCATGCACGAGGTCCTGGGTTCAATCCTCGTAACTCCTCCAAAAAATAAATCAGTAAACCTAATTACCCCCCCAAAAAAAGAGTCAGAAAAATGAGACTAACCATGAAAGAACTTGAGGACAACACTAGGAAGAAGGATTTTTATCTTGCAAAATTGGGAGAGTTACTGAAACACAGCAGGTGTAACTGTCATGATAGCATTTGTATTTAGAGATATAGTTAGTAGCAACATGGAAGACAAATTGAAGGAAGGTAAGCTTTAGGGCGGAAGGATCAACCAAAGAGCTTTGTAAACTGTGTATCAGAAAGAAATGGAAAAAACATGAAAATCCAGGTTCAGGCAGGAGCTGTAGGGTGGCAGCGGGTGGCAGACAGACCACGTGGCCAGCTTCTGCTCAGAGAACTTGAAAGTGCATTTTCTCAGACTTCTGCTTTAGTTGAGGAATTGCTGGAACACCTCTTCTTTGTTATATGACACAGGTAGTTAACTTAAACCGGCCTGGCCACTACGGCCCAGCGCCTGGCATGTGGTCTCTCTGGGCCTCGCGGCTGAATTTAAGCAGCATGAGGGTTCCCTCTAGGACCGCCTCCTTCCTTAGAGGGCTTTGCTTCTGTGGCCTGGGCGCCTCTGGCCTCTGTTCCCGGAGGCCGGGTTGGGCAGGAGGTGGGAGGCCAAGGGGGAGAACAGGGAGGGGAACCTGGGGGCTCTGCGATCCAGAACCACCACCGCCATCCCTGCCCTCTGTGCCCGGGCTCCCCGTTGCCTTAGGCTGTGGGTCACCTCCTGCTACACAAGTTGTGCCGAGCGTGAAGGGCTGGGCTTGGTTGTCACCACTTGTGCTGTTCGGGGCTTGTGGCCCAAGTTAACCCCCCTGCGTCTGGTTACAGGACATGTTGGCTTCAGCACTTCCCTTACTTTTTTTCCTCTGTCAAAGTCTTCCCCAGCTTTTTATTATAAAATGTTAAAGTACACAGAAAAATTAAAAGAATTACTATAATGAACATTCATGCTACAGTCTGAATGCTTGTGTCCCCCTGCCTAAATTCAGATGTTGAAATCCTAACCTCCAAAAGTTTTGTTATTAGCAGGTGGGGCCTTTGAGAGGTGCGCACGCTGTGAGGGTGGGGCTCTGGTGAGTGGGGTTAGTACCACATAATGGAGGCTGCAGAGAGCTCCTGGCCCCTTCCCCCATGAGAGCAGAGGGGGCAGTGGCTCATGACGTGGGTGGGGGCTCTCACCGGGAGGTAAGTGCCGGCACCTAGGTCTCGGACTTGCAGCCTCCAGAGCTGGGAGCGGCCCGTCTCAGCTGTGTGTGAGCCCTCCTGTCGGTGGGGGTTTGTAACAGCTGTAAATACTTTGCTGTATTTGCTTTGCCTGCGTGTATGTATTTTTTCTTGACCCATTGAAAGTATGCTGCAGAAACCATGACATTTCCTCCCTAAAACCTTGAGTGTGGATCCCCTCAGAACAAGGGCGGTCTCCTCCATTGTCATAATACTATTGTCACACCTAAGAAAATGAGTAGTGATTTCATAATATTCTTTAATGTTGAGGCAATATTGCAGTTTCTCCAGTTCCCCCCAAAAGTCTCTATTTTTCCAGACCCAGAGCCAATGGGGGTTCACACATTACATTTGGTTATTTTTTTAAGTCTCTTAATCTAATTCAGTCTCTTGCCGCTTTTCTTTTTTTTTTTTAATGACACTGGCTTTTGAAGAAGGCAGGCCAGTTGCCTGTAGAATGCTCATGTTATTTCTTTGAGACGTCATTAAACTTGTGTAGTGTCCCCCATATTTCCCGTAAACTGGGCATTCTGTCTAGACCAGCTCTGCCCAGTTGAGCTTTCTGTAGTGATGGAAATGTGCTGTCTGGACTGATGCTGTTAATACGGCAGCCACCAGCCGTGCGCGGCTGTTAAGCACTTAAATGTGGCTTGCGACCCTGAGGACTGAAGTTTTGATTTTGTGAGTGTTAATTAAAGCTAAATAACCACAACTGGGTCTACACGTGTCCTGCTGCACCTGTCAGGAGCGTTACGTCAGGCGGTCCTAAAGCGAGGCTGAGTTTGGTGCCGTGGTTAACATGGTGATCTCCAGTCTCTCTGTCGTAAGGCACCTTGTTTCCCTCTGTAAAGCAGTAAATTATCTGTAGCGTGGTGGTTTGATATCCTGGGAATACCTGTTCCTCAGCAGCCTTTTCCCTAGTGGTTTCAGGACCCTTAATGATGCCTGCGCCAGTTATAGTGGAGGTTGTGAAGCGCTGTTTGTTAATTCCATCTTCTGCATCTATTAGCTGGCGTTCTTCTGTAAAAAAGAGCTTTCTTTCCTTCTGTCATCTCTCTCTCTCTAATCACCATGGACTTGTGAATTTGTATTTAGTCAGTATATTGTAAATTACTGTAATTATTCTTTTGTTGTTTATATTTTCCCAAATTTTGCTAGTGAGAATCTCTTCAAATTAGCCCCTTTATCCTTTTGACATGACCCCATTAATTCTGAGCCTTCTTTGTTCTTGGGCACAATGTGTTCCAGGTTTACCTTATACTTCCGTGCCTCAGACGTGAAAGTGGCCTCTTACCCAAGGAGCTGCAGTCCCTTTGAGTGGGTGAAGGTATTTAGAAACCAAGATCTGGAGGCTAGATGTGCCCAAGGGGTAGTGAGTCTTGGTGACAGCACTCCACATTGCTTCTCTCAGTACTCAAGCAGAATGCTTAGCTCAAAAGCAGTTATTATCAATATTGTAAACCTCTTTTCTTTTCAGAGGTTGCGCAGGGAAAATTAAAGTGGTGGACACAGCAGGGAATTTCTTCTTCCCAGTAAATAAAGGAAATAATAGAAGTTTTCCTCTTATTTTTCTTATTTTCTTATTGATGCTGTACTTAATTGTTTGTCGCATTATAACCAAATGTGAGAGGGAGCAATTTGAAAGGAAGCGTCATCCTTCATAAATATTTGTATACTGAGAGCGCTTGTTGCATATGATAGGATGTGTTTAAAAACCTTATCATGAGCTGCTAAATAATGTCAGGGTGGGGAACCATTTTAAGGAAGAGAATGATAAACTAAATTTGTAGGACTATGTAAAGCTCTATTCATAAATATCATTCAAAAATTACATAGGTGTTTCTCTTTGAATTTTGGACAAGAAATGCCTTTAGAAAGAAATCTGCCGATGGCATAAAAGGGCAGATCATGTAGCAGCAGTCGGGAGGGATGTGTGTTCCGTGGAGAACTGTACTTTGGCTGTGACCCTGAGTCCAAGGCTGGATGCCTTACGTTCCCAAGAAACCAGACACTGATGCCCGTGACACCACTGACTCAGCAAGCCGTGGGTGAGCTGAGCATCCGAGCAGGCTTTGTCTCTGGTGTCTTCCTGCCTCTCCCTTTGTGCCAGCGTCCAGGCGTAGCCTTAGGGGTGCGGAGCCACCTGTCTCCCTCAATCCCACCCCACTTGGCTCTCAGGTCTTCATCTCTTTGCTGACTGACCTCAAGGAAGTCTTTAGGTGCCAGGTGTTCTGAACATACACTCCAAAATACCAGGGTATTTTCCCTTGAATAGAGTCCAGTGACTGCAGATGGACCTCTAACTGGTGAAATTCCAGAAAGTGAAGCCAAGTGAAGCAGTGCGAGAGAAGTGGGGGTTTTGCCCAAATTGTATGAACGTTCCTCCAGGAGCATTTGTGTTCAATAGCAGAGGCGTTCTGAAGATACAATGTCATTATTTAAAGATGTGGTTCTTACTGAATTTCGCCCTCTTTGTAGGATTAGAACATCTTAATTATAGAATGTTGAGGTCTTTTAAAATGGGCTAAAAGCTTCGAAGCTCAATGGATTTTTTTGGATTTTATTTCTTATTTGGGGGCCTATAATTATTTTCAGGACTTTATAAGGATAGTGATGTCATGTAGTTTTGAAAGTACAGTTTTGTGGCTGTATTGCTACTAGTTGGATTGATAAAGAGGCTGAATAAACTCACTTCATGAATGTCAGCAGGAGTATCTTCACAGAGGTGAAGACTGTGCCCTTCTCTCCCTCCTCCTGCCCCCCACCCCCCGACTTAGCAGCGTTGGTGGAAGGGCCTCAGCTGGTTCTTAGAGCAGTTTTGCTGGGATGCCCTTTGCTCTAATCTCAGGTTGGGCTCTCCAGAGCTGACCCTGAGACAAGGGTTCCGATGTGAGGGGCCTGTTTGGGAAGGGCAGGGATGCTGGTCGGCAGGTGGGGAGCGGAGACGGAGGATGGGTGGCAGGAACAGGAGTGTTAAGTCGACCACCATGA